TAAATAAATAAATAAATAAATTTTAAAAAATCACCAGCGTCTATGGTGTAGCTGTTTGGTGCTTTGCAATCTCACGCAGAAGACGTGGGTTCAGTTTTCGAATGGGAAATTTGTATAATCAAATATCTTCGTCTGTCTACTGGGACGTTGTTTACCTCTCAGCCCGGGTTGGCCGTGGCAGAAAGGAGTCGAATCAGTTTGCCTCCAAAAATAACTAAACTGTGTCGACGGAGGCGTAAAAGCTCGACGACTCCAATTATATCCATATACTTATTTTTTTTTTCGAAGACGAGGCTCTTTAAGATTTGCCATGATACCAGACTGATAAAATGATCAAACTTTGTCAAGATTCAAACATAACTGTGTACACTGTGTTGTCCAAGGCCGAAACACACTTTGCTAAAGAGGCCGAAGCAAGATTTAAGATGAAAACAACGTCTAGTGCGATCACGCACTAAGCACACCGGACTCAGTTAATATTATGCTATAATAATTTAACTGTTATCTGGGGGTTGGGGGTGGTGGTGCTTTTTGAACCTGTTGGGCTTGACGCTGATCAATGTCCTATCAAGAGATGACAAAGCCCTTATCGCTAGGATGCTTGCATCTCGCACTCATGAAGCCAAAAATAAAGAGAAAAGAACTGGGTTTTTGTCGCCGTTTGAAGGCAGTTTTAAATGAACTACGCAACGGAGGAACAACCTCAAAGCGCTTTTGTGTTTTTTCAAATCATTTCTAACGACTTTAGATGTATCATAATTGTCAACAAGTTTTAAATGGATTACGCAAATGGAACAGCCTCAAAGCGCTTTTGTGTTTTGTCAAATAATTTCTAACGACTTTAGATGTATAATAATTATCAACAAGGTCATCGTATTGGGAATTAGTTTATGATTTTTTACTAAATGTATATCAGTGTGCAATCTTTCAGTCATGGATTGGTATAATTTCGAAAAGCTTAGTCAAGTCGTTTTTTTGTGCAATAACATGTTCACGTCAGAAAAGTAAAGTACATGCAACTGCTTGTGTGTAATAGAATGTAGGTTTAATGCCCTGAATCAACACTGTTAGATCCTGTAATTGTTTGGACTTTAAACTAGTACGTCTATCTCCAATAGGATCAAGCCAAGTGGGTAGAAACCCCTTACAGTAGAAAACTAACCCTATCCAACATCTACACGCTTGTGATTCGAAACATAGACATTTAAACTGCAGTTCAGCCTGGCACCAACAGAGATATGTGTTTTGAAAAGCTAACAAAACATTGATATTGCAGAAAATGGCAGAGAAAAATAAAGTGAAAAATAGGTATCAAGAAACTGTATTATTATTATTATTATTATTATTACTAGTAAAAGCACCTGTTCTACGAACAGAATAATAACGAAGAAGTATAGGAAAGTTAAGAAGAGGAAAAAGACTGAAAACAGGAAAGAAACACAAAATAAATATTTTACCTTGAATTTATCCATGTCGCACCTCGTCTTGACTACCTCTAGGGGCAAGACTTCTTCCCCCTCTTCGAAGGCGTGGCATTTTCTCCTAAAATTCCAGCTCAATCACTTAAAAAAAAAAGAGTTAGGCCTACATGCCAATTGTTGCTTCCTAGAAGAACCTAATCTAGATTCTAGATCTAGCCTAGGTCTCGAGGGATTATAAAGACATAGGCCAATAATTGAAAGAAGGAGCCTAGGCCCATAGATAGATCTAAGTATAGAAATTCACATTTTTAACAACCGACAGGCTTCACAGATGTCCTAGATTTCTAGGTCTATTCACAGCAGAAAAAATAAATCCACTTTCAAGAAAACTTTCATGATTCTTGATCTCGATCTAGATTCACGAACAGCCTATAAGTTCTAGACTCTAGGTCTATTCTCACAGCAGGAAAAAATCCACGTTCAATACTTTCATCATTCTTGATCTCGATCTAAGATTCACATATAGATCTAGATCTAGTCTAGGTCTAGATCTTAGAATCTATAACGCACAGCAAAAAAAAATCCACTTTCAATATTCAATAGGTTATAGAAATATCACAGATCTAGATCTAGATTCTACTTTCATTTCATGATTCTTCTCGACCTCCATTTAGATCTAGATTCTAGATCTAGATTCTAAATCTCATCTAGACATTGTGCACAAAATACACTCATCCTTCGGCGTGCGCACTAAATCCACTGCAGGAGAAATCTACTTTCAATACTTTCATGATTTTTTATCTTGATCTAGATCTAGATATTAGATCTAGAAATACACACACATGCGACTACACGTAGGGCGTAAATCGGGCTACGATTGACTGAACCTTTGACTTTGACCCATGAATACATTAAGTAGGCCTACGGTAGGCTAGTCTTGGCCCTTTTGACGACACCCTCCCAGTTACTCTCACCACCCTCCCTCTGTAGTGCTTTCTGGACTCCTCTATCTCTTCCTTTCTCTCTCTCTCTATATATAAATCGCCTTCTCTCTCTCTCTCTCTCTCTCTCTCTCTCTCTCTCTCTCTCTCTCTCTCTCTCTCTCTCTCTCTCCCAAACAAACGAAAAAGTCCCCACTTTGTAACATGTATTACTACTTGATTCTTTTCCTCCTCCTTCTCCTCCTCCTCCTCCTCCTCCTCCTCCTCCTCCTCCTCCTCCTCCTCCTCCTCATCCTCCTCCTCCTCCTGTCGATGTGGTATGGAGATGACTCCTCCTCTTCCTCCTCCTCCTTCTGCTCCTCTTCCTCCTCCTCCTTCTCCTTCTTCTTCTTCTTCTTCTTCTTCTTCTTCTTCTTCTTCTTCTTCTTCTTCTTCTTCTTCTTCTTCTTCTTCTTCTTCTTCTTCTTCTTCTTCTTCTTCTTCTTCTTCTTCATTTCTCCTCCTCCTCCATCTACACCTACACCTCCTTCTCCTCCTCCTCCTCCTTCTTCTTCTTCTTCTTTTTCTTCTATGAGCGCTCCAAACCCGCTATGAGAAGATTGTCAAAGACGTGAGACCGAAACCGGGAATTCCCGTAAACCTACTTAATGCATAACTGAGCACAAAATATCCTTCGGCGCAGTCGGCACTCCGCAGTGAATATACAATGTCGAAGCAAATGATGGCGATCGTTACAAAAGGACTGAATTTAATTTAAAATGGGCTTTCTTCTTACACATTTGATCTTAATGAAAACATAATAGTGCAACACTACGCTTCAAGTTATGGGTACTGGCATAGTTTCATATTTTTTTCATTCCGTAGTTTCTGAGAATATACTGTTCGCAAAATTTGGCCTTAGCTCCATTAGTAGTAAGATTATTATTATGATTATGATTATGATTATGATTATGATTATGATTATTATCATTATCATTATCATTATCATTATCATTATTATTATTATTATTATTATTATTATTATTATTATTATTATTATTATATATCTCATTTCATATCATATCATATATATCATGCAATCTTCAACAGGCGACTTTCGGGCGTGCGCTGGAATGGGTCAAAGAGTTGCACACACAGGCTCCCCCCAACACGATTGTCATTTTGTGTGGGAACAAAGCTGATAAATCAGAGCAAAGACAAGTCAATGATGAGGTGAGGGACGCTATCTATCTATCTATCTATCTATCTATCTATCTATCTATCTATCTATCTATCTATCTATCTATCTATCTATATCTAGCTATATATATAACTATCTAGCTATCTATCTATATAGCCGAAGCTAATAAAGGGCGAACAAAACCCACACTATAACTGAATTATAATTGTTATGTATAGTATAGAAGTTTTTCGCCGTCATCTACCCTATTTAGATCAGATTCAGTTTTTTACGACCCTTCCTGTCAGAGACAATCCAGGCTGAAAGGGATACAACTTTCCAGCAGAAAGACCGAAAGACCCGCTACTCGAGACAAATACATGTAATTTTCATACAAGAATGAAACCTGGGTATTCTGTGTGTAAAGGCACAGATGCTGGTACTCCACCTTCTTCCCTCGTCCCGTCCAACCGACTCACCCATTGGTACCACAAGGCCAAACTTTGTTCTGCATTCAAAATTTGCCTTTATGCTCAAGGGAGGCATCAGAAACACTGTAAAGAAAAACAGACCAACAAACAAACAAAGAACCCCTACCTTAAAAAAAGCAAACAACAACAACAACGACAATAACAACCACACCAGCAGCAGCAGCAGCAGCAGCAACAACAACAACCAGGAACCAAGACCTTTTTAACTTCAGAATTATCTCCCATTTTCCTGACAGGAAGCGTCCAAAGTGGCAAAAGACAAAGGTCTGTTGTTCACAGAGGTCTCTGCCAAGACTGGGGTCGGAGTTCAGGATATCTTCCAGGTCATAGGTCAGTATATCTAAGGTCATAGCTCTAGATCTCTCAGCAGGTGGCTAAGGATACTACAGTGTGGTTTACTCCTAATATTTTAAACAGCTTTTTTCCCCACTCATGTGTTTAAAGTAACGAATGGCCCCCGTGCGTGCTGACCTGCCATAAACTGCGGGTAAAAAAATAACCACTGATGTACAACCACTCCATCCGCCCCCATCCCCCTTTTTCCTCCGTCGAACCCCTCCCCCCCTCCCCCACAGCAATATCAAACAACAACAAGACAACGAACTCAAAAGCAACTCGAAACAAAACAACAAACAGATACAACCCCTCCCACCCAGAAGAAAAGAAACAAATTGTTAGTCTAGAGTTGGAGACAAGATCCCCTTCTCGAAATCTGGACGTCCTGGGTTCCATACAAGCAAAGCGCTGCAAATTTCTTTTAAACAAATTGTTAGTCTAGAGTTGGAGACAAGATCCCCTTCTCGAAATCTGGACGCCCTGGGTTCCATACAAGCAAGGCGCTGCAAATTTCTTTTTTTGGCAATCTCTTTTCGTCGCTTTCTGATTCTGTGTCAGTTTTATCGTAAATGGACGTAAACATGGTTTCAGAGAATTGTCAAGCAAAGTCTTACGCTCTCATCGATCTATAACATTCTATAGTAAGTTCAAGGAAACGGACCAACAAGTAAAGAGTTGTTTCAATTAATTGGGATTTATTGCTACGCATTGTTCCTGTTTATGAGATTGTGTACATTGGGATACTTTTACTTTTGCTATTGTGAACATAATGCTTACAAAAGTAACGAAGTGCTGCCTCTCCTTTCTTGAAACAAAACACAAAAATTACAAGAACACTTATATGGCTGTGTGTGTGTGTGTGTGTGTGTGTGTGTGTGTGTGTGTGTGTGCGCGCGCGCGAGTGTGTATGTGTGTGTCTGTGTGTGCGTGTGTACATGTATGAGTGTGGGTCTCTTTCTCTCTCTCTCTCTCTCTCTCTCTCTCTCTCTCTCTCTCTCTCTCTCTCTCTTCTCTCTCTCACTCCCACTCTGTGCATGAAAGTGTATGTGTGCCTGTGCATGAGTGCGTGTGTGCGTATGTGTGTATATGTGTGTATAAGTGTAAGTGTGGGAAAAAGACGACGGAGGGGATGGAAAAGACCAAAAAATGGTCAAATTAAAAGCAAGACAGAAGAAAGGGAAATAAAAAATAAAAAAAAAACGAAGAAGAGAGAAAGAAAAGCGAATGACGTCAAGAATAATACCTTTCTATTTTACTTCCACAGCTAACAAATTGGCGGGGAAATCCAACAATCCAGTAAACTCACCACCGTCTGAAGAAACGATCAAGCTCAAGAAGGAAAACCATCAGAAATCGTCATGTCCCTGCACTTCTTAACACCAGAGAAAAACGTCAAATGATCTTTTACACCCAACGCTTACGTGAATATGATTGGTAACGGCCCCCAGGATTTGACTAAAGCAAAAGCAATAAAGAGCTGAGCAGTTTTTCAAGCTTGGAGGATTTGATCAATGATCATAAAACGATGATGACTTGGCAGCTCTCTTCCAGAAGTCAAGACTTTTGAAAGATTACGTGCTCTTTGCAAGACGATGTCGTTTGTTTATCATGGTTGAATATGATCCAAGAAAACAAATAATGTTACTTAATTTTTCTCATTTCTTTTACTCTTGGTCGTGAACCGGGTAGGGGTGGGGCTATAATAAATAAAGTGGTAGAATGTATTTATTTTAAAAAGTAGGGGTAGGATTATAATATAAAATTTGGTATAATGTATTTATGCAAAAATATACCTTTCCTATCCCCACCCAAATTTGTATTTATTTCACTGAGGAGAGGGAGAGAGGGCTTCTGCTGTTGTCTCCCTTTTACTTCGCTTTTATCCATTTGGATATTCCCAAGATATAAATAAATACGTCAACCGTTTTCTGTTGTGTATTGGTTTGGCCCTTTGCAAATTTTTTATTTATTTCACTGAGGAAAAAAAAGCTTAAGATATAGTTTCATCAAAGACAGAATCCTTTTGAATTATTATTGATTTACAGAATGGCTTACATTCGATAGTTTATTGAAGGAGATTTTTTTAAATCTTCGTTTTTTGTAATTTTATTTAAATCGTGTGCAGAGCATTATGTCCCAAACCTTTTATTTTTCATTTTCATTTTTATATTTTATTTTATTCCTTAGTTTTTTGCTTAGTCAGTCACATTTACATATACATG